TGGTGAGTGAAAGTGAAGGAGAGTTTGAGAACATGCCTGCACTGGGGGACGTTGAAGAAGAAGAAAAATTGGAGTTTGCTGTTGGGGAATCGTTGGTGTCAAGGATAGCTCTTAACACTCAAGTCAAAGTGGATGATTTGGAACAGCAGCAAGAAAATATATTCCACACACGTTGTTACGTCAACGATACGGTATGTAGTATGATTATTGATGGTGGGAGTTGCACGAATGTAGCTAGCACAACTTTAGTTGAGAAATTAGAACTAGCATTGTTAAGATACCCTAGGCCTTATAAGTTGCAATGGTTGAATGAAAGTGGGGAAGTTAGGGTGAATGGAAGAGTTTTAATTAATTTCTCAATTGGGAGTTATAGTGGCAAAGTAGTATGTGATGTGGTGCCTATGCATATGGGTCATATCTTGTTAGGAAGACTATGGCAATATGATAGAAGGGTCACACATGACAGTATAGGAATCGTTATAGCTTTGTCAAGGATGGGAAGACTATTACTCTTGCGCCATTAACACCGGCACAAGTGTATGGAGATCAAATCAAGCTGAAAAGTGAGGAAGATGAGAGAGTCAGGAAAAAGGAGAGGCAATAGTGAAACCATCAATAAGAGAGAAAATAGTGAGGTGGCTGAAAGTGGAGAAAAGAGAGAGAAGCCACATGAGCGAAGAGAAAATGAGTCAGTTGAGAGGAGAAAAAAAAGAGTCAGCTGAGCGGAGAGAAAAGCCAAAGGTCAACTTCTATACAAAAGAGAGTGAGTTGAAAAAGGCTATGAGCGATAATAGGCAAATGATATTATTAGTGTACAAGAAGTCCCTCCTCAATTTTGAGGATTCTAACACATCCCTCCCTAGTTTGGTTAAGTCTTTATTGTAGGAGTTTGACGACGTGTTTCCTGAGGAGATGCCAAGTGGATTGCCATCAATCAGAGGCATGAGCACCAGATTGACTTTGTACCTGGAGCTGTCATACCGAATTGACCAGCTTACCGAAGCAATCCCGAGGAGACGAAAGAGCTTCAAAAGTAAGTGGAGGAGTTGATGAGCAAAGGTTATGTCAGGGAGAGCATGAGTCCATGTACTGTACCTGTTTTGCTGGTGCCTAAGAAGAACGGGACTTGGAGAATGTGCGTGGATTGCCGAGCTATCAACAATATCATGGTAAAGTATCGTCACCCAATACCTAGACTAGATGATATGCTTGATGAGTTGCATGGTGCTTGCATTTTTAGAAAGATTGATCTTAAGAGTGGGTATCATCAAATTCGCATGCGGGAGGGTGATGAATGGAAAACGGCGTTTAAGACTAAGTATGGATTGTATGAATGGTTAGTTATGCTGTTTGGACTCACTAATGTACTGAGCACTTTTATACGTTTAATGAACCATGTTTTGCGTGCTTTTATTGGAAAATTTATTTTAGTTTATTTTGATGACATCTTAATCTATAGCAAAAACCTAGATGAGTATTTAGAACATTTAAATTGTGTGTTTGTTGTGTTGCAAAAGGAACAACTGTATGCCAATTTCAAAAAGTGTACATTTTGCATGGATATAGTTGTTTTCCTAGGATTTGTGATTAGTGCTAGTGGGGTAGAAGTCGATGAAGAAAAGATAAAAGCTATAAAAGAATGGCCAACACCTAAGACTATAACCGAAGTTAGGAGTTTTCATAAATTGACTAGTTTTTATAGGCGATTCGCAAGAGATTTTAGCACCATCACCACACCGTTGACTGAAATAGTAAAGAAGAGTGTAGGTTTCCATTGGGAAGAATCTCAAGAAATTCAATTTAAAACAATTAAGGATAAGCTATGTAAAGCACCTGTTTTGGCATTACCAAATTTTGATAAAACATTCGAGGTTGAGTATGATGCATCAGGAATAGGTATATGAGCAGTGTTAATGCAGGAAAGGAGACCTATTGCTTACTTTAGCGAAAAGTTGAGTGGGGCAGCATTGAATTATTCGACATATGACAAGGAGCCGTATTCACTTGTTTGAGCATTGGAGACTTGACAGCACTACTTATTGCCAAAGGAATTCGTGATACACACCGATCATGAATCTTTAAAGTATTTGTGAGTTCAAGGTAAGTTGAACAAAAGACATGCGAGATGGATGGAGTTTATCGAGACATTTCCCTACGTCATCAAGTACAAACAAGGTAACGAAAATATAGTTGCTGATGCGTTGTCTCGAAGGTACGTGCTTTTAAATTCATTAAGTACTAAATTACTTGGTTTCGAGCATATTAAGGGCATGTATGAATCTAATTGTGATTCTTCTAGTATTTATGCTTCATGTGACAAAGGTGCATTTGATAAATTCTATAGGCATGAAGAATATTTGTTTAGGGAAGATAAGTTGTGCATTCCTAATTATTATTTGCGTGAATTATTGGTAAGGGAAGCACATGGAAGTGGTTTAATGGGACACTTCGGAGTTCAAAAGACTTTAGACATGTTAAGGGAACATTTTTATTGGCCCAAAATGAGACATGACGTAGAACAAATATGTGGAAAGTGCATAACTTGTAAAAAGGCTAAGTCTAAAGTTCAACCCCATGGTTTGTATACTCCTTTACCTGTACCTAGTGAACCTTGGATAGATATATTTATGGACTTTGTGTTAGGTTTGCCTAGGACAAAAAGGTGTCGGGATTCAATATTTGTAGTGGTCGATAGATTTAGTAAGATGGTGCACTTCATACCATGTTATAAAACTGACGATGCTACTAATATTGCAGACTTATTTTTTAGGGAAATAGTACGTTTACATGGAGTACCTAAAAGTATAGTGTCTGATAGGGACGTGAACTTTTTGAGTTACTTTTGGCGTGTTCTGTGGAGTAAGTTAGGAACTAAGTTATTATTTTCTACAACTTGTCACCCACAAACAGATAGACAAACTAAGGTAGTTAATCGAACTATGACTCAACTACTTAGGACAGTGATCAGTAAAAATCTAAAATCATGGGAAGAGTGTTTACCGTTTATAGAGTTTGCATATAATCGAGCTACACATTCTACTACTTCGTTTTCTCCTTTTGAAATTATTTATGGTTTTAATCCACTAACACCTATGGATTTAATGTCTTTGTCTGTGCTTGAACGAGGTAGCTTGGATGGGAAACGAAAAGCCAAGATGGTGAAAACATTCCATGAAAAGGTCAGGATGCAGATCGAAGAGAAAGGAAAGCTGATTGCATCAAAAGCATATAAAGGAAGAAGACGCGTTACATTTGAGCCTGAAGATTGGGTCTAGGTGCATTTCAGAAAAGAGCGTTTTCCAAAACAGAGGAAGTCAAAACTGCAACCACGAGGCGATGGACCGTTTCAAATCATCGAGAGGATCAATGACAATGCATACAAAATGAATTTACCTCGTGAGTATAATGTTTCAACTACTTTTAATGTATCTGATCTCTCTCTGTTTGATGCAAGTTCAAATTCGAGGACGAATCCTTTTGAAGAGGGAGGAGATGATATGATTCAGGAGTCGAGCCCGACGAAGGCAAGTGCGGGACGAGACCCGTTGATAGTCGATGGCAGACCAATGACGCGATCAAGGGCAAAGCAAGTGAAACAAGCGATGGGATTACTCTTCAAGAAACCATTGATGGAACCATGTTCGGGACTCAAAATGGAGCAACTTTCATGTTCGAGTCGAAGGCCGAATCAACTTAGATCAATTTGTTATCAAGCGACGAAACCGAAGGTTGAAAACAAGCATGTGCAGCCGCACAGGCAAAAACACCGTGCGGCCGCACGGTGGCATACCAAAAATCAATATGACATTTCTTGTTGAACCATGCGACCGCATGGAAATACACCATGCGGCCGCACAAGCAAAAAATTTGGGAAATTTTTCAATTTTGGCCGAATTTCCTAATTTCAATAGAATTCTTATGAAATCAAATTATTACCATAATTTGATGGGTTTTGGACCTTTTTACTCATTAGTATAAATAGGAAAATACTTTTCATTGTAAAGACTTTTGACTTTTGCTTGAATAATATTATAGAGAGAGAATTGTTCTTTCAATTTCTTGTTCTTTTTGAACAATTTTGAAACTTATCAAGATTCAATTTTTTGTGACGTTCTAAATAATCGGATTGTGGGTTCTTTTAATTATAATCAAGGGGTTTTAGATTTTTCGCTAATTTAGGGTTTCTTGGTTCAATTATTGGGGTTCAAGATCCAAAATTGGGTTAGTATTGGCGTTCTTGGGTTCCACATCAATCTCGTTGTGGGTTTCGTAGTTTTCATTACTACGGGATTCGCATCAAAATGTGTGGTTAAAAAATAAGGAATTTTTTTATTTGCGTGTAATATTATTTTATTGAAAAATGTGTGATTGAAATGATGTCAAATTACTGTTTAAAAATGCATTTTTTTGGAATAATGTAGCTCAAACAGGCTCATAAAATATACATCTGATTTTTGAAATGCAATTTTTAAAAGTTATCCTCCATATAATGGGAAAATTGCAGCAACGGTCCTTAATCTTTTCATTTTTTACAGATTTTATCCTAACCTTCATTTTGTGTTAGAGAATGTTCATAACATTTCATAAATATGTACATGAAATCCATCTAGACGAAAATCTTGTAAAACACAGTCAATTGATCTAAAAAATTAAGGAATCAACATTCAATAAAATTGTCCAAAACACTGTTCAAAAACACCTTCCAAAAATGTATCAACATCAAATAAAATCGTCGCGATAGCAAACAGTTCGAAAATTTTTTCACTCGACTGATAGTGTTTTGGACGGTTTCCATCCAGATGGACCTCAAGTGCAACACAAAATGAACGTTAAATTAAAGTTTGCAAAAAATGAAAAGGTTAGGGACGTTTCTACAATTTCCCCCATATAATTTCCACTTTTTCTTTTTTCTGAAGGTCCCGTTGGCCCACTAAAGTAGGATGGCATCACGGTAAAATTACGAGTTCCTCATGGATGTTAAGGGTATTTAACATACCGTCATACCCCTTGACTTCAACCAATCAGAAATCTTCCCTGTCTAACGGCCAACACGTACGACCAATACAGTGTATAGAAGGGCTATGCTTTCTCCATTTTTATCAAAATTTTACAACTTCAGATCTGAAAAAGAGAGAAGATATGGATTCCTTGGACTCAGTTTTCGATCCACTCAGAGATTTCGCCAAGGACAGTTTTCGCCTCGTCAAGCGATGCCACAAGCCTGATCGTAAAGGTACAACTCATTGTCGAACGCGAAATTTCTGTTACTAAATGTTAAATTATAAATATGATATGATTTATGCCTTTTTAATACTTGTAGAATTCACGAAGGTGGCGACTCGGACTGCGATTGGGTTCGTGGTTATGGGGTTTGTCGGATTCTTCGTCAAGTTGATTTTCATTCCCATCAACAACATTATTGTTGGTGCTTCTTAATCCTTTAGGTATCGTTCTTTTCTTGTAATTTCTCCTCTGATCTGATACGAATACTATTTGGAGTTTATGTTTTGTGAAGTATATGATTTAGGCAATTTTTTAGGAAGGCGTGATTTTTAGTTCGGTTAGCCTCTGTATTTTACTAGGTTAAATAATGATTTTTAATTTTGTATGTTTTGGTTTGTATAGATCATGTACATGTGGAATTTGACGTCCTTATATGGGAAGAGCGAGAGCGAAATGAGATGATCAAGAAAGAAATTCAGCTATTGATAATTAATCATAATGTTGTTTGATGGGAAGAGTTGCTATTTTTACCGCATTTTACATTAATGCATATTTTGACTTGGATCACGTGAACTTTTCTTTGCCAATTTTTTCTCTTGTTCAGCTTAGTGTGCATTGAAGCAAAAAGAAGCCAGTTAGCTTACTCAAATGCCAATTTCTGATAAACCTAATAAAAAAAAAAAAAAAAGGTTTGAATTCCAACCTTGAGGGCCCCCTCCATCCTTCTCCTAGAGTTTGGGAGATAAATCGTGGGATGTGCCTCAATACGTCAGGGAATAAGAGTTGTCTGTACAGTACACTGCGCCTACAAAGAGTCTAATTTCATGTCTCAGGAATCGAATCTTTATACTGCGGTTGTCCGTAAGGCGTGAGATAACATCACTACCGTCCTTTGCACCACTGGGCTATGCCCCGAGGGGCCAATTTCTGATAAACTAGGGCTGAGGTGTAGTCACTCAAGGCATAAAAAAATAGGTTCATTTTAAACTCAATTTCGTTGGTTAATTGTAAATATTATGTGGATTCCATATTCAATGAGAGAGAGGCTCCCTTTTGCAGGGGGGTTCCAATCTAAAAGAATGGAACTCAATCTTGGAAAAAGAAAATCTTAGAATAGAATTAACATAGTTTGTACCTAAGAAGTACATTAAATTGCCTTGCCTACATCTAAAGTAATACTGGTGTCGTTCTGCATTAACAGATTTAGGGATATTCGCCCGTGAAATAAATTAACGAAATTTGTAAACTTGTCAAGGTTAAACGGAGTATGCAGAATGATCTTGATCTGATATCGTTTATTTCTTTTTTGAAGCAATAATTATTAAAGTTACTTTTTTAAAAGGAAGTTGCAGTAAAATGCCCTCCAAAGCCCATGTATCAGGCAGGGTGCACTGGACTGCTGCATTCTCAGCCATTGCATGCATGTAAGAATAGAGATGAATCATGCAAATCTAGCTAGCACGAGTGAATTCTAAATATTAAAACAGCCCAATCATTGATCCTAAAAAGGTAAAAGGTGTCAAGGGGTCGAATCTAGATTGAACCTCTACCCCCACCTTTTCAGCTGAGAACTGGATGGTTTTTAATATCTGACTTTTGGCCTATAATGGTACTAGTTCTTGATTTTTCCAGCTGAACCGACTGGTTTGGTATGGTACAGTTCAAATAACACTGCTTAATGCACAAACCCATAGACACTTAAATGCTCATATATTTGCATCCGCGTTATGCTGTCAAATATATTACGAATTTTTTAATTTTCTGCCTTGTTTGTGGTTCCATGTGTTTGTGTGAGTATTGATATATTGGTGTATTAAATGTGTATGTGTTTGTACTCATTTACTTCTATTTCCTACAGGGCGAAACCCTTTTCAAATTTGTGTGCATACCACTGTGTACATAGACATTAATGAGAATTTTCATGTAATTTTTTACAGTTGTTCCTGTTCTTGTAAATTTGGATGAGCATCACTTATGGAATCTATTCTTGTATCTTTAGATGAGCATCCCTTGTAATCTGTTTGATTTTTGCATGTAAGAGAGTTTGACCATGTGTGAGATCTGTGTGTGTGTGTGTGTCAATGGTTAACGTGCACTTTAACCTAGCTGGTAAATACTGGTAAGTATTTTCTCGCTTGTATATTCACATTTAGTGGTTCCTTAGTTCGGGAAAACTACTCTTATTTTCCTCGAAGGAAAAACTCGGGGGAACTAAAATACAATCTGGTGAAGTAAGTCCATAACTAACCAGGGGATAATTTCAAACAGAAAACCATATTAGTTCCGTATGCATCTTTTTATTTCAGGGAAGTATCATGGATTTTTCCTATTTGTAAAGGTTGCGTCGACTTCTCAATGTCTTTCTCTGTCTTTCACTTATCCACTTTATATTTTTTCTTCAGTTTGCTACTTTGCGAATTTGAGATAAATCTATCAATCACTATTAAAACAATATCTTATCTAGCTTCTCCAATGAAATGTTAGAACTTAGAATGGCCTTAGTTGGCATAATAGTGGGAAACTTTCTTTAGGTTTTTCTGATTTGCATCGTTAAAAGTAAACAACATGATTAGTACACATTCCCATTTATGTCTTGTGTCTTTCTGCTGCAAAATTTATAATTGCTCCTGTTCTTTCTGCAAATGGAGTTTTTCTTTTGATGCTAATTACCGAATATTAAGGGCACTGAGATGTGGATATTATCTTGTGGGCTAACAAAGATTTTGTGGTATCATAGGCTTTTGCTTGTGGTGAGAAGCTTGGTAAGAAACTCAACATCGGGAAAGGGTGTCCATCTCACATGATTATTTAGCCGCTCTTTTAAATTTTGCAGAACTTCTTAATGTAATAGGATTACATTCTTCTGTAGACTATGACTTCACTTTGTAATTTCGGAGTTAGCTGCCTCATCTACTTTGTCTTGGCATATCGGATATTATTATTTTAATTTTTTTAAAATTGAAACTCAACTCCATTAAAGGGTATGTTTTTTCTTTTTTGGATGGAAAGAAGTGCCAAAACCTAATTAAACAATAATTATGTAGTAAACTTTTCTGGCAAAATTTTGAACTGTGGTTGGTGGATATAAGGGCCTCTTTGATTAGTTCGAATTCCACCTTTTTCCAATTTTGTGTGTTTGATACGTTCTAATTTTCATGAAATTTCATTTTTTTGCTTGTCTTGGGAAATGGTATTTTCTTGGTTTTTAAGGAAAATCAATTCCCACCAATATGGTGAGAACTAGTTTTCCAACCTACTGTTCACGTGTTTTTTTTCTTTCGCAATGGAAACAAATTTTAAGAATTATTATAAAAAAATATTTCATTTTAATTGACAATTTTTATGTAAAACAAAATCAAACGAATATCAAAAGATAGATGATTTTTTTGATTTTTATTATTATTATTTTTTTGGTTGTTGGCAATGGAAAAAAAATTCATTCTCAATACCAGTAAAATATATTCATCTAATCGACAATTTTCATGTGTGAAAAATTATACCAATCAAATAAAATAATTTACAATTTCCACGAAAATAAATTTTAGGCAATTCAATTTCCTGAAATTTGTTTTCGATTCAATTTAATTTCATTTTTGTAATCGAACGGACCTTAAGTTCAAATTGATTTTCTTCTGAATACAGTAGCTAGAAATTTGGAGTATGAGAATGTTTGCTGTGTTAAAGGAGATTTATAAGTTACTTATTTTGTCAAAAAAAAAAAAAAAAAAATCTTTTCTGGATACAAGTTGTAACTTAGCGCTTTAAAAAAAAAAAATCTTTTCTGGATACAAGTTGTAACTTAGCGCATGTTAATTTCATTAAATTATATTTCATTACAATTCACTTTTTTCTCATTATTTTTAAACATGTAATCTTCCACAAAATAATATTACATATAAATCGAAAATTTTTCTTTTTCAATCACCTAGTTTTCAAAATAAATAAATAAATAAATAAAATAAATAAATGATTCCACTTATTTTCATTTCCAAAAAATGGGGGCCAAACAGACAATTAAACTAAGTTCTTGTTTGTCATTCTTCACTTTAAATTCTTTCTCATTATTTTTTTATAGTACTCATTCTTAATTTCACATTCTTCATTAAAATAATATTACATGTAAATAAATAAAAAAATTCCTTCTTTTTTAACCTAACATTTTTCATCAATCACTATTTTATAATACTTTTCTTCAAATGAATGAGGCTCAAATAGGGTCTAAAGCAATATCTATATTGAATATAATCTTGAATCAAATTATAGATTCAGATTTCCCCGCGAGGTTAAAATTTGTCGAGCCATGCTACATGTACATATTTGTTGACATGAAGTTTGACATTGTTGTAATGTGGCAGCTTTTTTACACATTTATTTTATCAATACTTTAAACAATTAATGACACAAATTTTGACAACACGTAAAGTGTCAAACTTAATATATACCAAGAGTGTACAACTAGTTTAATCCACACACACGCATTTCCAGAGAACTAATTGAACTTGATTTTCTTCATTCAATTCATGCCAAATGCAATAATAGCATCAATGAAACAAGGTCGTTCACCTAACCACCAACAATACTGAAAGTGCAAATGCGCATTAGAAGCTAAACTATGAGTGACACCATTTGACTTGTGCCGAATAAAATGACAACTAATGGACATGAAGCTGATAGGGAAGAAATGGAAACACAGAGCTCCCTTTGGAGTGAAGGTTGATCGGTTCTTATCGTCGCTTTCACATTGTAGCAATTGAACTCGTATTGCATAACATTCCCCTATAAATAGCCCGCAAAATTAATTTCCCAACTACTAGCCTATTATTAGAAATCAAGATCAGGAAAAGTTACGATACCATACATCTTGAATATATTAACAATCCTTGAGTCCATGTTTAATATCTTCTCACTGAACACTATTTTGGGTGTGCTGATGATCCATTAAACTATTTCACACACACACTCCCAAAAAAAAAAAAAAAGAAAAAAAAAAAAAAGAAAAAAAAAAAAAAAAAAAAGAAAAAGAAAAAAGAAAAGAATGTTGGCCCAAACAAGACAAAAAGAATGTTATCTTCTATTACATCTTTAATATTTACCTAAAAGAAGTCCAATAATAACATAAATATTACAAATAGGAGGAGGAAAGTTGTCATTGGGCAATAGTCATCGTCCATTATTTATTTTACTTTTATTCTCTTGTCTCTTCAATCATGCTAGTATATAAGAAGTTTGGCTGTAACAAACTGTCACTCGTCAATTTAAAAAAAAAAAAAAAAGAATAAAGAAGTTTTGGAAGTCCATAATTTAAAAAAAAAAAAAATAATAATAATAATAAAGAAGTTTGGAAGTCCATAATTTAAAAAAAAAAAATAAGCAGTGTCAAAATTAATGTAAAGGAAAGAGTGTACATGACAAAATTCTTTTTTTTTTAATAGCAACTCATGGCAAACTATCATTCGTCAATTTTATTTTATTTTATTTTATTTTTTCGTTCATTAAAAAAAGAAAAAAAGAAAAAAAAGGCGGTATCAAAATTGATGTAAAGGAAAGAGTGTGCACGGCAAAATCCTTATTTTTTTATTAGCGACTGGCAAGTGGGTATGTCACGAAGGCGGATAAGTATGAGCTTTGTCATGGATAAGAACCAAAGCAGGACACGCTTACATCGGGTTCTCTACTTCTCTGTCATGTGGTGGACCACCTTGCCAATATAATTCAAACACGTGTCAATGATCTTATTAACGGTCAAGATCATACACGTACCCGCTAAACATCGTAGCACCATAGCACAACATCTAACATATTATTTTGCCATAGAGTACAAGTGTACAATCATCACAGCGTCAACCTTTTTAGAAAGCAACATTTTAACAAGTATCTTAAAATTTTGTCATTCAGTAGTGAAGCTTCACTTTTGATCGATTGAGGGTGTTTTTCAGTGTGAAATTTGAGTTGTAGATTGATCTTAGAGAGATTTTATGGACGCCGATCAGGGCGGAGAAACGCCGCGGAGCCCAGAAGCGAAACTGGGTATGCAGGTGGAGGATTTGTGGGATATACAAAAGGCCCAGCTGACTCCTACTGAGAAGCTTAATGCTTGCTTTGAGAGCATACCGGTTTCTGCCTTCCCTCCTGCTCCTTCTTCCCAAGGTAATTTTCACTGATTTCGGGGGATTTATTATTTGTTGCTTATTTTTAAAACCCACATGTATATTTCGAGTGGATTGATTGTGTATGCGCGTGTGATTAATCTGATTTAAAGCATGATCAAACTTAAATTGAGTGATCAAGAAAGAGAGTGAAAAACACTACCGGTGCGAACCCCAACC